AAGTCTGTCGGACAAACTACATCCACACAAAAGGGGAATGACCCTATACAAGTGAGATATCGATGTTGTGTACAATGCAGTAGGGAATAATACAATATGTCCCAAAGTACTGTATCCAACACAGAATTGTCGTAGAGGTCGAATCAAGTTCTGTAAACAAGGGATTTTCCAAGGGAAAATCGTTGAACTTACTTTTGTGATTGAATCATCAATTCAAGCCAAACATTAATCAAATAGGAACAATTTCACTCAAAGTATACCTAGACACAGGAGAACTATTGTCGTGAAAGTGTTGTACAATCGATTACGAATTTAGATTGCAGAGAGTTTGTTCTGAGCGCTAAAGGCACTAGGAACAATTTCACTCAAAGTATACCTAGACACAGGAGAACTATTGTCGTGAAAGTGTTGTACAATCGATTACGAATTTAGATTGCAGAGAGTTTGTTCTGAGCGCTAAAGGCACTCACGATAGAGCACATTTTGCTTTATTCTAACAGTATATGTTCAAAATGAAAATACAAAACAAAAATAAACAGTGAATGAGAGCATGTCCCATTGCTGCCAATGGTGATTGTCACAATGGCAGGAGTGTGTTGGGATATGACGAAATATGAGTTTTTACGTTCCGAAAAAGAAACTATTCAAGTACGACGTTTTCGACACGTACGATTGGACTTTGATCGTGATGTCGGGATTCGCCGCAAGTATGCCGGACGCAAGTCTGTCGGACAAACTACATCCACACAAAAAAGGGAATGACCCTATACAAGTGTGATATCGATGTTGTGTACAATGCAGTAGGGAATAATACAATATGTCCCAAAGTACTGTATCCAACACAGAATCGTCGTAGAGGTCGAATCAAGTTCTGTAAACAAGGGATTTTCCAAGGGAAAATCGTTGAACTTACTTTTGTGATTGAATCATCAATTCAAGCCAAACATTAATCAAATAGGAACAATTTCACTCAAAGTATACCTAGACACAGGAGAACTATTGTCGTGAAAGTGTTGTACAATCGATTACGAATTTAGATTGCAGAGAGTTTGTTCTGAGCGCTAAAGGCACTAGGAACAATTTCACTCAAAGTATACCTAGACACAGGAGAACTATTGTCGTGAAAGTGTTGTACAATCGATTACGAATTTAGATTGCAGAGAGTTTGTTCTGAGCGCTAAAGGCACTCACGATAGAGCACATTTTGCTTTATTCTAACAGTATATGTTCAAAATGAAAATACAAAACAAAAATAAACAGTGAATGAGAGCATGTCCCATTGCTGCCAATGGTGATTGTCACAATGGCAGGAGTGTGTTGGGATATGACGAAATATGAGTTTTTACGTTCCGAAAAAGAAACTATTCAAGTACGACGTTTTCGACACGTACGATTGGACTTTGATCGTGATGTCGGGATTCGCCGCAAGTATGCCGGACGCAAGTCTGTCGGACAAACTACATCCACACAAAAAAGGGAATGACCCTATACAAGTGTGATATCGATGTTGTGTACAATGCAGTAGGGAATAATACAATATGTCCCAAAGTACTGTATCCAACACAGAATCGTCGTAGAGGTC